TATAGACCTGTAATGTTATACACATTCTTAGGTCCACCTGATGGTGTCAGTAATTTAACAGGATATCAGTTAGATTCTTGTTGTATGTTTATCAGTTGGTATCCTCCATTCACACTACCAGGACTAACAGTACAGTATATAATCAGTGTAGGAACTGATCAACAGTACCTTAATGGCTCTATCACTAACTACACTTACTGTCCAATGAACCCAACCAATAAACAATATCTGTTTAACATTACAACTACTAATAAAGCTGGGAATGGATCTACTAGTAACATAACTGTTGGATTTCAATCAAGTAAGTAGTTGCTGTAATGAATTGATTTATTATTGTTGTTTTTCATAGGTTCACAGATTCCAATTGTTTATCAAGATTCTTATACATATCACATTAACAATTATTGGTACCTTCATTTCCTTTTATCAGTAAGTTAGCCTACCGTACAACACCCACACAACTTTGTTTACATTTACAGGCTCATCAACTATGTACTGGAGTGCCACTCGTTAATATTACATCATGCACTGTTAATAATTCTTGTTATCCATCAACAAATATAACCACTAATCACAGTGCTTATAATAACATTTTACTTGTTGCTATTATAAAACTTCCGTTGAGAGAAATACTGAATACTAATGTTATCTTGTACTATGAAAATGGAGTAAAGGTTGAAAGCAACACTATAACAATCAGTAAGTGACTGACGTAATTATTAGTTTTATTATTATCATTAAGATACTTACGATCTTCAGCACATAGCAGTGGTTAATATTACATTTAACAAAGTTTGTCTTCAATTTCAGCTTGTCAATGGCAGTACAGCTAATATTATTTATATTCACATCACTAATTATGAAGAGCCAGTTCATCCACCAGTGTATTACAATATATCTCGTAACGATCAGTTGAACTTTACTGAGTGTATTACTAACATACCAGCTGGTAATAACTTAACACTGTATGCATGTGAATCAATGGAGGACTGTACTACTAATCCTGCTGCTGTATTAGCTGGTATTAGTATTGATAAAGCTCCTATGGTGTCAAGTAATGATATTATGCCTATTTCATCTTCAACTTCAGTATTATTATCTACAAGTAAATATTTTCTAAATAATTATTTAATTGTTTTTGTATAGCTATTTCTGTAGTAACACCTGTATCAACTTCACCTAGTTCCAAAGCTAATGAGCAAATTTTTATAATTTTTGGGATAATTATTGTAGTAATAATTTTAATTGGTATGTAGTAAAATTACTCATATTTATGATTTATTAAATTTTATAGTTGTTTCTATAATCATCATCTCAGCAATAGTTGTGTGTAGGAGGAGACATAAAGAACCAGTAGTCAATAAAAGCTACCCTTTTGTTGAGCCAAATGTGGTATGTCCCAAGCTGCAATATACAAATTAATTATTTTTATTAATTTTAGATTCCACTAAACTACATTGACATGAAAGTTGATCCTAATGCTCCAGCTGTTCCACCACCATTTGATTCAAACCCAGCCTCCTACTCAGAAATAAAACTTGAGGTGTACGATAAAGTGTCACATGATGTTAGACAGGCTGGTCTCTCAACTCATGGGAATGTTGAGACCAATGGGATGTACTCCAGACTTAACTCGGAAGGAGGAGGTGCTCCTGTTTATGACAAATGTCAGCGTAATGATACAATACGAAAGCCTGGGCAAGTAGGAGATACTGACAGCTATTCCAAATTAAATGTGGGACAACAGGCCTCATCATTTAATGGAACTTCTATTCCTTTTCAATATTCTGTAGTTACAATGGAAAGCAGTGATGTTCCGCTTGTTCAAAAAGGTAAAATTACACATTTGTGATTAGTTGCGAATATATTTTATTTTATAGATTTAACACATAAAGACCTGTCTATTTATGTCATTCCTTATCTCACTGAGAAGTGGCGTGAAGTGGGACTAGCATTAGCACTGACTCCTCCCCAGCTTGACGATATAGAGGAGAACAATCAAGGAATAAGTGATGTGTTTCAATTGTGGGAGGATTTTGCTACACGCCCATTCACATGGGAGACTTTATTAAATGCACTCAAATCTTCAATTGTCAATGAATTTAACTTAGCAAATCAACTAGAGCACACACTTTAAATAATTTCTTTAAGTGTTTTTTTTCATCAATGCTACATTGGTTTTAATATCAATAATTAGTACATCATACAAAAGCAGTCTTGATGCTATAGTTATCACAGCTTGTCAGTCCACCCAAGTCACAAGATTATAATAGTAACCATAACTTTCCCAGCACTGTGATTATAAGAGTGATACCAACAACAGTCACCACATGTCAATTAAGCAATATATATGTAATGTATATACACACAAGGCACAGGATATTGATAAATGTAACGAAAAAAGATTACAAAATTGCTGTGCTATATATAGTACAGAGTTGATAGCCAAATTTTGTCAAAAATGGCCAGGAGAGAATTTTGCAGTTCAATAATTTTTTCTGATGCATATACATGTACTTATCAAGTTTAAGCTGAGTCCAATGAAAACTGGATTTTTATAAACTTTTAAGTTGCTCAAAAATTATGTCAAAGTCCCTCTACTATAGTACTGGGTTGTTGCCCAAATTCTTAAAAAAATGGCTCGGAAAAAATTCTGCATTTTAATAATTTTTGTCTGATGCATTTGGATGTATACTTATTTTGTTATTCAAGTTTGAGCTAATTTTGATCAAAACTGGATTTTTATGGACTTTTAAAATTGTGATGCATTTAGATCTAGCTTCTAAAATACTGTAAATTTTTAATTTATAAATTTGTGATAAATTAGCTTTTTAATTTTTAAAATTTGAAATTTTGTTGTGTTCAAAAAATCAGTTTATTCTTGTTAGTTTTAATTTTGATATTAACTGATAATCAGTTTTCTTTTTATTGCACTTTTACTTTCATGTTTCACCGAAAGAGCTAGGTGTGCCTATTCTAGCAAAAACATTTTACAATGTACATACACATGTATTGCTTCTCTATGTTTAATGATAACTTTTGGGGGCTAGTGCATGTTGCTTGCAACAATGAACAATGTAATATGGTCTATCTTATTAGGAAGCTACTGAACAGCTTTTTTACTGACAAGAATGAATTTTCACAAAATAATGTGAGAGCTCCCAATAGCCCCCTACACCCTTGTGAAATGAAAAAATACTGTATTTAGGACCATGTTTTAATTAATCCATATAGATATATGGCCGACCTCAATATTAATAATGTCATGATTATAACTTATCCAACTCTTTCTTTCCACACTTTTCATTTCTAGAGCATTACAAATTCAAGCACTATTAGTCTACTGTTGATGTAAACATTGGCTTGTGTTGGCTAGTCTACATATACTTTGTGACACACAATTTCTTAAGGTAGGTCTACATTATTATTATTATTATTATTATTATACAACAGAAGAAAGAAAAAAAGAAAAACCTAAACTAAGACATACAATGTTATTATCAATGCACAATAACCAGTTAAATGAGCCCATCAACAGAAGGAGGCAAGAGGGGATTACGAGTGGCCCACATAGCAGCATTTCCCCTCCACAGAGTGACTGAAAGCCTCTTGTGTAGATGGCGGCAGGCAACGGATGGATCATGGCCAAGGCAATGGGCGAGGAGGTGAGCCAACTGATTGATAAAATTTGAGGCAGATGGACTCCAACCCCCAAGTGCTTCTACTGCTAGAGGGAGTTTATTATTATTATTTGAAGGAATTATTGATCACTTCATCTCATTACTTTTCAATGAGTGTATATTAAACTGGCCCAGGGTAAGGTAATATGCATGTTTTCACTTGTGTAGTATTATGATTTAACCAGCAGGTGTCGTTTCATGTGGGTTGTGGGGATCTTGCCCAATTTCTATTTTGGCTAATTACTTGTATCTGCAGGTGTACGTACATCTGGAGCGCTTCTTATTGTAATAAATAAAAGAACCTATATGAATGTCATTTGTCAATTATTCATACTATTGATTTAGAAATTTCCCAGGCATGTAAGCTACAAGTATGTTGAGATTACGGTATATTTATATCCCCTACAATTCCTACTAACTACATTGATGTTAACATACCCCATAAATTTTTATACAAAACAATGTAATCATACTGACAAAGCATTTTCATAAGAATAAGACTAATAGCATATATACCATCTAAAAAGAATGGTATATCTATTGAAAACATATTTACTTTTGTTGTTTGTTTTGTTAAACTCCACCTGTTTCAGTGTGTACTGTTCCCATTTACTGTTGATTGTCCTTGTCTATTTTTCTAATGGATATGTTATCTAAAGTACAAGAAAGTATATTTAAACTCTTGTTATTGTATAGATATCAACTTACATACTCAATCATTTATGCATTATAGATAGTATTACATTACTAAGTCACAGTGAGTGAATATCATCGTACCGTACTACCTCCTAATGTAATCTGATATGTGAGTATTTGGGTGGGATTATTATTTTTGGGTGGCATATTATTATCTTTAACACCCTCTTTAGTTTTTATTTGTCTCACCCATATGTCCTTAAATGGGTGGGGGATTGGGGGTCTGGTTGTTTGTCTGTCTGTCTGTTTGTCCTTGTGTAGGCAGGTACTAATTTATAAGCAGCACAATAAGTTTGTTAAGATTTTGCTAAGTTTTAAAAATTACAATTACATAGATACAACTTACAAGCATCAGCGCAGTAAACATGTGTATATACCTAACTCAATCATTCACATTCAATGTTATTTATTATAAGCTTACACTGTAATGACTATAGATGTCTAGTTTAAAGTATGCCTGTGAAAACATGTTGTTGAGTAGTTGAAAAGCATGAGACGTATTTGTATTCTCAAAGGACAACTAGCCGATACAAAACGTGTCAATCATGTGTATAAGTTTGTATAACAAATTGCTTTGTTATCTACACTGTATAAAAACTTTGCTTTATTTTAGCATTTTATTAGCTGAATTTAAAAAATTAGATTGATAATCTATGGCAATAATGTTATTCTAAAGATACTAAAGTTGTAAGGGCATATATGTATGAGTCTATCAGAATACCCGGTATGTAATAGTCTGGTCATGCAGAGGGGCGTGACCAGACTAAATATGTAATAAAATGTGGTTGGATTTAAAATACCAAGTTATTTTTAATTTTTGTTGCTGATTAGCTTAAATTTCTATATAGATAACGTATCAAAAAAATCTGTCTTGTATTACTTTAGCCAAATGGAGTTAATTCACTAATACTTTCCTATGTTATGAAATAGTGGGTTTCACTATAGTTACAGTGTTTTGTTAAGGGAATAGCCATGGGGCAATACCTATACTACTCCATTGTACAGTAGTAAATCTAGTAGTAGTAAATGAATAATAATAAAAGCTTTGGTGTAATTTTATGGATAGTTTTCTTGAAAGGAATACCCATAGCTCAGAGTCTTTAGCCCAATCTTTGAGTAAATTAAAAAATTTATAAAAAAATTCAAATTTGATTGGAATAAGCTCAAATTTGAATGCAACAAAGTACATGCATATGTATCAAAAAAATTATTAAAATGTAGAATTCTCTCATAGTCATTTTTGATGAAACTTGGCCATTGACCCTGTACTATAGTACAGGGACTTTGGCTCAATTTTTGAGCAACTCAGTTTTGATTGGAATTAGCTCAAACTTAAAATACATCATAAGTACATGTACATGCATCAAAAAAATTATAAAAATGCAGGATTTTTTTCCTAGCCATTTTTACAAAAATTTGGCTATCAACCCTGTACTATAGTACAGAGACTTCTGCTCAATTTTTGAATAATTTTAAAAATTCGTAAAAAATCAGTTTTGATCAGAATCAGCTCAAACTTAAAATACAACATAAGTACATGTATATGTATCAGAAAAAAATTATTAAAATGCAGAATTCTCTCCTAGCCATTTTTGACAAAAATTGGCCAACGACCCTGTACTATAGTACAGGGACTTTGGCCCCATTTTTGAATAACTTTAAAAATTCATAAAAAATCTAAACTTGATTGGAATCAGCCCAAACTTGAAATACAACATACCTTAAGGCCACTATTATTTGCAAGCACTAACTTTCGCGTTTTTTGCGAGTGGCTTTAAAATCACAAAAATTAGTACTTGTATTTATTAATAATTTACGTTTATTAATAGTTATTAATTGAAAAAATGAGCTAAATCGCAAAAATTAGTACACGTTAAATCAATACCATTAACAAACTGCAAAAATTTGTATACTTAAAAATAAGTGGCTTTAAGGTAAGTACATGTATATGTATCAGAAAAAATTATAAAAATGCAGAATTATCTCCAAGCCATGTTGGCAAAATTTGGCCAACAACCCTGTACTATAGTACAGGGACTTTCGTCCAATTTTTGAGTAACTTTTAAAATTTATAAAAAATCTAATTTTGATCGGAATCAGCTCAAACTTGAAATACAACATAAGTACATTTATACGTACCAGGAAAAATTATAAAAATGAAGAATTCTCTTCTAGCCATTTTTGACGAAATTTGGCCAATGACCCTGTACTATAGTACAGGGACTTTGTCATCTTTTTGTTAGATTTATCAATGTTCTATGCCTTATGCGTGTATATTGCTTAATTAATTGGCATGTGCTGACTGTTATTGATACTACTCTTATAATTGCAATTCTGGGAAAGTTATGCTGATGTTTTTATAGCACCTTTTTTATAATCTTGTGACTTAGGTGGGCTGACAAAGCTATGATAACTGTAGCATCAGGGCTGTTTTTGTATGATACACCAGTATATAATTTTTACTAATAATTATTGATATTAAAACCAATGTAGCATTGATGAATAAAAACACTCAAAGAAATTTATTTAAAGTGTGTGCTCTAGTTGATTTGCTAAGTTAAATTCATTGACAATTGAAGATCTGAGTGCATTCAATAAAGTCTCCCATGTGAATGGACGTGTAGCAAGATCCTCCCACAATTGAAACACGTCACTTATTCCTTGACTGTTCTCCTCTATATCGTCAAGTTGGGGAGGAGTTAGTGCTAATGCCAGTCCCACTTCACGCCACTTTTCAGTGAGATAAGGAATGACATAAATAGACAGGTCTTTATGTGTTAAATCTGTATGGTAATGTATTTATGATTTTGATATCTTTGAAAATTTTACCTTTTTTAACAAGAGAGATTTCAGTGCTTGTTTGACTGGGGAGGCTTTCTGTAACTTGTAGCTCTGCAATAAATTTTTAATAGTATGAGTTATTTAGCATAATCAGTTAAAAATCACCTGAAATAGGATCACTAATTCCAGTCATAATCTCATCTACAGACACCAATGAGTACTGCCCTAATACATGTATTTGGCCCTTAGTGGCTTGCTTTACATTGACTGTGGAATACTGTGCTTGAGTTGCTATTGGCCTCGCTGGTTTTATGTTGTCGTTACCATTATGCTGGCATTTATCATATACACCTTCAGTGAATTGGTTCATTCTAGAGTAAATTCCAATGTTATCATCTTGAACTTGCAGCTTATGACTGAAATCATGATGTAATTTGTTGTATATTCCATTGTCTGGTCTTATTTCAGTATATGCAGTTCTAACAGGGTCAAATGGTGGAGGGACAGGTGGAGCATTGGGGTCTGGCTCCACATCAATATATTTCAGTGCAACTGAATTGCCAACCATCTATATAATAAATTTATTACAGTACATTAATAAGAAGAGTAGCCTTTTTGTTGGTACAGTTTACAGTTTAGGATTTGGGATTTTACAATGCATACTTATCAAAATAATATTTGAGCAAAGATATACCTCTGTCTCAGTAGACTGCTCACTTTCATTGACGTGAACTAGTGGAAAGTATAATAAAATCAGCAAGACCATATAATTACCTTGATTGTATGGTGTTTGATCCAGCTCATGAGATACCATATATGCTTGACTGTTATTTGTATCATTTAATTTAGTTCGGTTCTTTTTTTGTTTTATTAATATCAATGTCAATACAATACCTTTTTATCACATGTGTAGGTTTAAAAAAAAGAGAAAAAAATTTTTGAAAGTATGTATGCATACATGGTCACTTACAGCAAGAGAAAGTCAATAGCAACAATGTTAATGTAATTGTTACAACAATTCCAATAATAAAGCCAAGATCTAGTTCAGTGTGACCACCAGAATTAAATGTTGGTCCAACTGTAACAGACACAGTATTAGAAACTGTAATAGGGAAAATAGAAATGTAAATCATAATAACAAGGTTTATTATATACTTATAGATGTTAAGTTGTCTTGTTCTTCAATACTAATATTTGTGATTGTAACTGCAGGATTAAGTACACAGGGTGGCACATCACAAACATATAATGTCCAGTTGTTAGCAGGTAATGTAACACAGTAAGAAAAATTCAGTCTGTTATATTGTGGTTTAGTAAAATTAAGTGAAATATCATTAATAGATACAAATTGAAAGTGTGTTTCATTAGTCATACTGCCATTAATAAATTGAAGCTGAAAGCACACTTGGTTGTCAAACATTGATGCTATCTCAGCATCTTGAATATCATGTGTACCTATAATGTAAATAGTAATAATAAGTACATATACAAATAGCTTACTAATGTGAACGTCTTGACTCAAAAATTCCTGTCCACTTTCATATTTTAAAATAACTCGACTAGTCCATAGCATATGGGATCGAAGAGTAATTTTTACAATTAGAGTACCATTGTTAATGGTACTATTGTCAGGATCAAAAGAATAACAATCAGTTATGTTCTGTGTACTATAACTCTTTACTGTCACAATTTCAATAGGTACATCACATAAGTGATAGCTCTATAAGCAAAATTGACTTAGTGAAAATATGAATGCTATCACTAACATCTAGCTGATAAATGAGACTGATTAGTACACTTTCCTTATCCTTTCTGTATGCATCTTTACTATTGTATGTGACTTTTAGGTAGTTATCTAATGTAGATCTAATTATTGAAACTATTATAATTATAACTACTTACTTGATTGAAATCCAACTGTTATGTTACTAGTAGATCCATCTCCAGCTTTATTAGTAGTTGTAATGCTAAACAGATATTGTTTATTGGTTGGGTTCATTGGACAGTAAGTGTAGTTAGTGATAGAGTCATTAAGGTACTGTTGATCAGTTCCTACACTGATTATATACTGTACTGTTAGTCCTGGTAATGTGAATGGAGGATACCAACTGATAAACATACAACAAGAGTCTAACTGATATCCTGTTAAACTACTGATGCTATCAGGAGGACCTGTATAATATGATGATTGTACAAGATGTCAAAATAAATGGTCACGATACCTTGAATATAAATGTAAGCTGCTTCAGTTGTATTTATCATGATTCCCATACGAGCAGCACATACAATGTTAGTACCATTCAATTCACTAGTAGCAGTAAATGTTGTCCTCTTTCCTCCATTAGGTAAATCAGTTTCAGTTGGCATTACATCCTCAGTTCCATAAAAGAATGAGAGAGTATATCCACTTATGTTAGATCTAGCAGCACATTCAAACGTCCCATTATCGTTGATATATACATATTGTGTCACTGGTACAATAGTGAATAGCTCTAGATTTCTGGCACCTGTGATAAAAACAAAAGTCCATTGTTTTGTGTCATATATAGATCTATAGACTTAGATCTTGTCTTTATTTCTGCCTTACTTTGAATTTCAAATATTTGTATCAAACCGATCAACGAGAAACACACTACAAACTGACATTTCGAGAGCATTTCGATAACAATACCGAAAACCGAACGAGGGGCCGGGGCTAGCTAACCGTTTATTATATCTAGGTTAATGGACCTTTTGCACTTAAGCGATTCTAATTAACGCGCACCCAAAGTGGTGGTAAAATGTAGTGATGGGCGATATTGAAAATTTTTAATCGATATGATAAATATCGATATTGGACAAATTTTAGTGATTATCGATATTTTTCGATACGATATTGACCACACCCAGATAATAGTTAATAAACTACAATAATAGTTAATAAACTATGATAAAAAGCGATTACTCAAACTATCATTAGTTTTTTGTTCAAAAATGGCCTCATATCTTCATATTTTGGCTTGATCCAGGTTCTTCTGACAGACAGCAACCATCCTGCCTTTGTATAGCTGCTTACAAGGTTGTTTTAAAATTAAATTGAACTAATTAACCACTGTTTATATAACTATTATTCTGGTTATGTGGGTGTGGTTATCATATCAAAATTTGAGCTTCAAAATTTCGATAACGATATTTATCGATATTGCCGATTATCGATAAAAATATCGGTTGATTCGATATATCGCCCATCACTAGTAAAATGGCGGATTTTTGGAGGAAAGACAGGCTGAACAATCTTCTCTTTTATCCAACCATTCTAGCTGTAGGAGCCACTTTGAGCTGTCCTTTTGTTTCAGTATACTCTATTTATCTCTTCTGTAAGCTCTTTGGTTGCTGTTTTGGCTTTTATAGCATTTT